TAACTGAAGCAAGCCATCTCCATTTAAAAGATTGGCGGGAAGCCGATAACTTTCTAATACTTTACTACTTCATTTGACCTCGTGCTTAGGAAAATGTGAACGGTTTCTGAAATTTTTCTACTGGTGTCGGCAGTCGAATGGATATAAAGGTGGCACCTTAGCTATCGACGCAGAAAGTAGAATTGGTGAGCCGAGTTCAAATTCTACCTTAGTCTGTTGCGTTCAAAGCCATTCGAAATGGCATCACTTCTTCATTTCCAGTATGGGTTAAATAGCAACAAAACAGGGCTTTGGGAGACAACCAGTCTAAGAGTTCGCTCTGTCGACTGAGGCTTCAGAATACGCCGACTTCACCTCTTCAGAAAAGTAAAAGCAAATGAGGCGTCCTGAGTATGGCGATAAACAAAATCTGGCAGCAAGGCCTCTGATCAGGAAGTTTTGAGGAGTGTGGAACCACCTCTTAATTGCTGGTCCTTCCAGGTCCACCATGACTTAGGGTGGTAACACCTGTTAGGGTCCCCAGCTAGGAGGAAATATTTAACCTGTAAACTGGAGTCAAAACACTATAAAAGTGTAAAAATAGGTTTTAATACCAGCAATATATTTTTGTAAAAAAAAAAAAAAAATACCAGTAATACATTTTTGGAAAAAAATACCATCAATAAAAATAACTCATTGAGGTTGATATACCGTAAAACAAAATAAACCAAACCAGTCTAAGAGTAGGAAAACTCTGAATTACTCATGGTGGAAGGAGCGACGTGAAACTCTTTGCCAAGAAGTCATGGCAATCTACAAATAATAAAGAAAAGAACTCTGTACAAGGCCATGATATTAAAAATAATCTCACAGTGGTTCGTGTTTGAAAAGTGGTAATTAATCTAAGATTCTCTCAACATTTTATCCTGTGCCATACATATTAATCTAAATTTAGCAAATATCGCGCATAGCGTACTCTAACGTGCATGCAAGTGTAAATTTTCAAAGTGATTGAGAGGATTTTAGATAAATCGGCGCTAGTCGGATATTTCTGGGGATGGGAACTTCAAACCCACCAACATTTCTAGTAACTGAATATTAAATTTGTTTTGTCGACCTATGACAATTCTGTTGAGCTGAGCTTTATCATTTGTCTAAAATCACTACCGCCATTAATTCTCAAAATAATCTTACGACCACATCACGTTGAAACCTCGATTCCCATACGATTACTGAAGTTAAGCAACGTCCAGCCCGGTCATTATGTTTGAGAATACCAGGTGCTGTAAGCTTGAATGTGCGGTTGATGTCATGGATAATGGCTGAGAATTGTTCATCGGAGTACCGAGTTCCAATTTGAAGAGGTCACTGAAGTTAAGCAAAGCCGAACCTGATCAGCACCTAGATGGGTGACCTCTTGGAAATACCAGGTGCTGTAAGCTTGGATGTGCGGGTGGTGTAATGGATAATGGCTGGGAATTGTTAATCGGCGAGCCGAGTTCCAATTTCAACCAATTTCGTTATTATTTGCATTATTTACCTTATTCTGACTGTTAACCTCATCTTCACTTCCATACTCACAACGTTTCTGCTGCTGTATGCTCCGGCCTTCTTCAGTTGACTGGAATTTCGAACCGAACACCTTTATTTCGTCCACCGGGGTAGATTTTCTAGTTCCATATGTCAGGCGTTTTCCGGATGTCAGATTTTCCCAAGTTTTGGTTCACCACTGATGTGGCCTGATATTGAACTCTCAACTCTTTGGGTCTAATCACTGGATCTAACGAACGTCTTTATCAACTGGGCCATGTATCCTTGAGGAAGGTCGGAGCATACAACTAAATCAGTATTATCTTCCAAAAAATTCTTAAATTTAAAGATATTTTCTGGCTTTAAATAACCTACAAAGAGGTTGATAAGCCGTCGAAAACGAATCAGTGAATCGATTCTCAAAATAAAACAAAAAGTGTACTTATGTAAGTAGCTTCTAATTAATATTTCCTTATATAGGGGGGGCTACAAGTCTCGTTCCAGAAATTAAGTACAAATAAAGCTCTATTTAAAATCAAAACAAAATATTTGCATTTTACACTATTTATATTAGAACTATTTTCCTCATCTTTGTTATCACAACATTTAGTCCGTTGTTGTCTCGATCTGAGTAAACTAAAAGGAATTCTAAACTGAACCCTTTAATTAATCTATGGGACGTAGACTGTCCTTGTTCCACTGCCCATGTCTAGGGATATCTCATCTAATTAATATTTTTATTTAGTACTCTTCAGTTATTGCTTACCTGTTTCCAGTGAGTGGAAGCATATACTGCCCGACCCAGGGATTGAACTCACAACCACTGTTACCAAATTCAGAAACCAGCACGTTAATTTACTAGCCCAAAGATGACAGTCCGAATTCAAACAGTAAAAACAAATTACAGTTGCATAGTCAGTCACTTATGTGCCATGCATGATACACGCTTAGGCGATCATGTATCTTTCGATACATGACTGACGGGGCAGATTTTTTCCCCCGCAGTAGGTTGCCATTCCTTTCTGCAGTAGACCAGTTGCCAACCAAGGCTAGTGAACCCGGTCTGTTTTGCTACTTACCTATAGATGGGAGGAGAAAAAGCGGGTTCATACATTTCCCAAGGGTATTAGCACGTAAGTGAATTTAATGGATTCAACTGGAATTCGAACTCGGCTCTCAGATTCCTCAATCCGAACCGCTACTCCACCGCGTTATTTTATGAGATGAAAAAAATAATCTGTAAAAATTACCATCTGTCTGAGCCACATCTTCGACTAAACACCTGATTTTGCAGATCCTTCTGCGTTTATCGTCTGACTGAGCCTCCCACTCCACTTTTAGCGCCTGACTTAGCCTCCCACTCCACTCTTACTTTTAGCGTCTCACACTCCACGTCTTATTTGGTGGCGCCGTGCTTAATTTCAAAATTGAAATTTCTTGATCGATGTGGTAGATTTTCTTAATCATTACAAAATAAAAAATAAAATTAAATTAACCTTTTTTTTTTTCTTTTTTCTTTTTTTTTTTTTTTTTTCGCCTCTCTGTCAAAAATGAGTAACAATGAGGTTACTTTCCTTTTTAGTGTCAGTTACTAATCACTCATTCAAAATAAACAAAATGAAATCGGAAAGCTTTTAAGTAGGATGTCGACAAGGCTCTTTTTTCTGAATAAAGCAGGGCGGGAAGATTTCAGCATTAAGAATTCGCCATCTAAATCATGATTTCTTTTTTTACTTTGCCTCTAATATTTACCCATAGTACCAAGAATTAACACAATCAGAATTTAATTTTTACTTAAGACCCCAAAAGTTTCCACCATCCTCACTTAATAACTTAATTACAGAGAAATAGACTTACACAAGTAGAACTAGGGACCACTTGGAAACGAGGGGGAGATACGTCAGCTAAATATAATGAATTTTTAACAAGTTACCCTGTTTCTCTATCTATATCTCTGAGATAAGGTATTCTGATTATTTGTATTATTTACTTTATTCGGACTGTTATCCTCGTCTTCATTGCCATATTCACAATGTTTCGGCCATTGTACGCTCCGGCCTTCTTCAGGTGATTAGAATTTCGAATCAAAACCTTTATTTCATCCACCAGGATATTCTGTTGTTCTAGTTCCATGTGCCATGCCTCTTCTGGGTGTCACAGTTATTCCCTTTAACTCAACTCTGCAAGTTTTTGGTTCACCTCTGCTTTGGGTCTCGTCACTGGATCTAACCAACGACTTTATCCACTGAGCCATGTGTCCTTGAGGACAAGTTACCAGGTTTCTGTTTTTGTAAGCTTAACGCAGGGCCAGTGCGTACAATCCCCACCCCTCATCGACCACCCAAGCCTGATTGGGGGTCCTGGGCAGTGCTTTTTTACACTCGCTAGCTTATCAACATTCGCATTTTATCTACTTACATTTATATATGTTACAAATTAAACTAAAGACAACTGATTATTAAAGGATTCAAAATTTTTCGAGGATTTTAATGCCATTTTGGGTTTTTTTTGTTTTGTTTTGTTTTTTTTTTCGTTTAAATCCGTGAATTTGTTTTGCTCAAAAAACACTAAATAAAATTCACTATTTTTATCCATAATATTGAAGGTGCTAAAATTATTAAACTTTTTAAACAAGAAAAATGTCAAGTTGATGTTAAAAATTGCCACAAAACATTGTTGATTTCAGCTGGAATGATCTATTATCACATTTAGTCTTTAGTTTGTATTTAGATACATCGTATTCATTTTCAATTCTTTCTAGTTGAATTGTTCACCTATATTGCATATGATCTATTATTGTACATAATTAGGTTACGATGAAATTTGTTTTTTATATGAATACTACCTTATGAAAATTGAGATCTATTATAGTCGGAGGCCGTATCATATATTGGGGAGGTGGCGTCTGATAGAGAAGGGGCGTGACATGATTTTTTTGTGGAGTTGGGGTCAAGACCCTTGCGCCGGCCCTGACTTAACGTAAGTCCATTTAAAAAAAAAAACTCTCCTGCAATCCAAAATAAAAACGGTATTTTTAGATCAGAAATAACATATCGTCATTTCTGTGTAAATATTATCAACTCATTGATGAAATGTCTTTTTAAAAAATCTATTAATAAATCTTTCATCACTTTATTGAAACGAAAAACAGGTAAGGAACAAAAATATTATTTAAAAAGTGAAAAGAGCAATATTTTTCATTGTATCGTTTATTTCTCCGACAACGATCTTCAAAGACTTTATATCTTCACATGCAGGTGAACACATAGGATTATTCTTTTCTTTCCATTCATTGTTTCCTGCATTTTTTACTTCGCCTTGCTTCACCAACCGCACGCACTCTTTGTCATGTTTGACAATTGTTTAGAAAATTGGTAGTACATTGTTCCGTTGTTGGCTTTCGTACTCAGAAAGCTTTTGTTGCAGTTGTTGTTGTTGTTAAAATATTTGCACTGCTGTCATCTTTCTCTCAGTCGTTCATGTACATTGCAATGTACACGATTCACAATGAATCTATTTGTATTAAATGTGCAGCCTTTATACACTGGACTGGGAGGGATGGTTATAAGTGTCTCACACTTGTTTTCCTCCATTTTTTTCTCTCTTTTTTTCTTTTCTCTCTCTCTTCTTTCCTCTCTCTTCTTTTCCTCTCTCTCTCTTCTTTTCCTCACTTTTCCTTTCTTTTTTCCTCTCTCTTTTATTTTCCTCTCTTCCTTTCTCTCTTCTTTTCCTTTCTCTCTTCTCCTCTTTTCTCTCTTCTTTTCCTCTCTCTCTTCTTTTCCTCTCTCTCTTCCTTTCTCTCTTTCTTTCTTTTTTTCTTTCTTTCATATTCTTTCGCTCTCTTTCTTTTACTTTCTCTAGCTTTCTTTCTCTTTTTCTTTTCTTTCATATTCTTTTACTTTCTCTCTCTTTTACTTTCTCTCTCTAGCTTTCTCTCTTTACTTTCTCTCCTTTCTCTCTTTTACTTTCTCTCACTCTCTCTTTTACTTTCTCTCTCTTTTACTTTCTCTCTCTTTTACTTTCTCTCTCTTTTACTTTCTCTCTCTTTTACTTTCTCTCTCTTTTACTTTCTCTCTCTTTTCTTTTTCCTTCTCTCTCGTCTGTTTGCTTCTTTTTCTTTTTTTATTTCACTCCCTTTTCTTTATCTCTCTTCATTTTCTTTCTCTACTTGTTTCTTTGTCTCTCCTTCTCTTTCTCTCTCTCGCTCTCTCTCACACACACACACATCTCTCATCTCCTGTCGTTTTTCTTCTCTCTCTTCCTCTTCTCTCGTACATACACACACATACCACAATCTGCTTTAGACCTAGCTACTTGCCGCATTTGCACGTAGTGCCCACTTCCAAGGCAATGTCTGCTTCGTTCAAATCAAAAATGTTTACGATGTCAATAACTGGAGATTTGTGTTGATCTGTAATCTTTGAATGAATTGGAGGGTGGCACACAATCAACAAAATACATTTTTATTCATGCGTTTCTTTCATTAAGATCTCCCCCCTTTTAATAAGGCTATCTTTACTCGCTCTTAAATCACTAGCATTGGCTTAAGGGAAGCCGAAATAAAGCAATTATCGCGTACGAACTGTGGTATTATTTCATGATACATGTTCATGTTAACACGAATCGGACGCTACTTGGCATGAACTTGAAAATACGTCTCTTCAAATTAGCAGCGCTGGGAGCTTCTCAGCCTTTTCATCTAGTCTCTCATTTTTTTAAAACTTTATTCAGTAAGACAGCGTCTTATTTGTATTCATACATTTCTTGACATGGTTAACTCTAACTGGTTTGCACAATTTCTTAAGGCATCAGACATTCTATCAATTATGATAAAAGAGAATGATGTCCTCGGTCCCATACATTACGTTAGTGATACCTCATTTCTAAAATTACTTAACCATTTTATCACTCCCAACCCATACTAATTCTTCACCCACATGACCATCTGATCAAGTGTTGGGTTCGTTTGCTTTTAGTTCTCAGGGACCGATAACACCACGACGTATGACCAATAAATAAATGTATGGCTTTTATCACATGGATTCCTCTTCACATTAAAAAAATTATCATTTTTGTAGAAACGGATAATCATTGCCTTTTTTGATACACCACCAACCCGTAGATTTTATTCGTAAGATCTCGTTATCTTTTGCTTTTACTCTTGAAAATTACTTGTAAATACTTTTATTCACCGATGTGTAGGATTTTGACGTTAAATTTTGGGATAGACGTACTTTAACAAACAAGAAACAAAGCTTTTGGTATTTTTTGCTTATTTTTCGTGTTTTTGTCTGTTTTTGTTTGTTCTTTCTAGTTTGTTTGTTTTTTTCTAGTTTTACGTGTTTGTTTTTCTAATTTTACGGATTTTTGTTTATTATTTACATTATTCGGACTATTGTCCTTATCTTTGTCGCCACATTTATGCCTTATCACAACGTTTCGGCCTATGTATGCTCCGGTGGTTGGAATTTCGAACCCTTTATTTCGCTCACTGGGGTAGACTGTTCTAGTTCCACGTGCCATGTTTTGATGGACGTCAGTTATCAGTTATCTCCTGCTAATTTCCCTCTGAAAGTTCTCCACTGCCTTAACCGGGTATTGAACTCACACTCTTTGGGTCCTGTCACTGAATCTAACCAACGCCTGTCCTTGAGGACATCTGGGTATGAATTTCTGGGTATTATAAACCTAATGTCTTCAGCAACCATTTTTACCAGTGCTCATATTGCAATTTTACTGTTCAACGTACAACGGCCGTAACGTTGTAAGAAATATGGCGACAAAGATGAGAACAATAGTCCGAATAATGTAAATAATGTACATAATACCTCATCTCAGAAATATAAACAGTGTATTTGTTTGTTTTACGTGTTTGTTTTTTTGATTTTCTAGTTTTTGTTTGTTTTTTTCTAGTTTTACGTGTTTTTGTTTGTTTTACGTGTTTTTCTAGTTTTACGTGTTTTTGTTGTTGTTGTTTTTCTCGGTCCTAACAAGGGCAGAAAATATAAATATCAGATGACCTCCTAAACTTCTTCACGGATCACGCATGGCGGGTTTCCCTGGCGGTCGCGTTTCTTGCTTTCTCTTGTCCCTTCTCGTCTATCTCCGAGCTGTCAGCTTATATCCTTTTGGCCTAGGCTACTAGACTACCAATGCGAACCTTCGTTTCGGCTAACAGCAAAGTTCGCTTTGTTTTCAATTTTTTGAATGGCCAAAATTATTCTACTTTCCGACGTTCCTTTCTTTTTTCATTTTTATATATATATATATATATATATATATCGGAAGTTGAACATCTCTGATTTTTAATAGTTTTTCGTCACAAATGGCTAGACTCTGGATCAGAAAACTTACGACATTTTTCGCGCGGGTTCAGTCTTTATTTCTTTCTCTTTTTTATTTGAGGGCTGCCTTTTCATTAGTTTAAGAGAGAAGTATATAGAATTAAATTTAGCCAGAAAAAAATAGAAAAACATAAGGGTTTTAAAGGAAAGAGAAAATGCCTTATATTAATTTGAATTCTTTTTAATTTTGTTTACATATTTTATTTTTGTATTTTTGTATTTTATTTTTATCGGGACTGACTACAAAATAATGCCTGATTACACATAATATCAGTAAATTCTCTTTAGAAATTACATTTGCTTACTCTTCAGATGTGGAAATAAAAGTTAACGGCGACAAGCATTGAGAAATCTGAACATGAGGAGGGCATTCTTGTAATAGGGTAACTGAATTTGCTCGACTGTAAAAGTTTTCTGTGGCTGAACATGCCGGTCGAAACAGTGGTTTCTTCTATAAGACTCACGAATGCACATGCCGGTAGATATAGATTTTCACTGTCTTAAAAATAACTGGAATATCTGCTCAAACAGGTGTATCCATTATATATAACGTTTAAAGTAATAGAAAGTGTGTCTGTAAAGCTTCAGATATAACTGAAAAAAAAATCTCTAAAAAATATTATGAATAAATGCAAAAGGAAAATTTCGCGTTTCGTCCCCTGACTACATTTACCTTGATAAAGTCAGAGGATGAAACGCGTTGGTAAATAAAGGTTTTTCTTCATATATATATATATATATATATATATATATATATATATATATATATATATATATATATGTGTGTGTGTGAGTTCAGTCTTTTCTTCTTCTTTTTCTTTTTATTTGAGGGTTGCCTTCTTGTAGGTTTAGAGAAGTACAGAAAGTATAGTTTTGAGAAAGAAAGAAAGAGATGAGGATTTTAAAGGAAAGCACAAACGCCCTATTTTAATTTGACTTCTTTTTATTTTCGTTTTAGATATTTTATTTTCGTATATTATATTTTTATAACAATAAAAGAAGCAAGAATATCATGTTTTACAGAGGTAGATTGCTCAAACACGGAGTTACTGAGGTTGGAAAATATTCGAATTTCTCCGGTTTGTTCACACTAGAGTGATTCATCAACAAACCGAGGGGAAAAAAAACTATCTTGGTTAAAAAAATGAATGTCGTATAAAAAATCACATTAAAAACTATTTTTACAGCTTTTTTTTCCCAATGGATAAAGATATTAGGAAAGCGATATTCTAGCAAATAGAAAAGAAGATTAATGGTTTCGAAAAAAAACTGAAAACAAGACTGACGACTAAAAGGAGATCAAAGAGCTATAGGAAGGTTTACATGTACCTATAAAAGCTATATTTGGTAGATACATGTGTTTGAGTAGATATTTTCAACCAAATCTGTTATCCAATGCGTCATCTGTTCTTGGGGACTAAATAAAGGGTTCGGTATACCAACGTTTATTACCTGAAGTAGGTCAGATCGTCCAACGGCTGAAACGTTGTGAATATGTCAGTAAAGATGAGAACAGTCCGAACGATGTAATGGTTAAGATAATTAGCATCAATCCGTTTGACATGATTTGTTGACACCACCTGAGGCTTTTGGCAAGCATAGAACTTGAAGTAGTGGTTTATCTGACAAACACTATATATATTTATTTATTTATGTATTATAATATGACTCCGTCAGTTAGCAATTTTTAACCTACCCTTCATTATTACGCCTGTGGTCAAATCATGTTGAAAACACTGGTTCTCGTACGATCGCCGAAGTTAAGCAGCGTCGAGCCCGGTCAATACCTACATGGAAAGGAGGGCGCTTGAAAACATAGGGTACTATAAGCAACTTCCGACAATCCGAAATACGTTTTGGCTTTAAATAAAACCCAAAGGGTTGATAAGTCGTAAAAAAAAGCAACTATCCTTTATCATAAGTGTGTATGCGTACTTCCTGATCTTACCTACTACTGTGACAATAGACTGCTCCTACTTATAAAAATGGCAAGTAGCCACATTAGAGTAGGATTTAAGTAGTATTTGATTTACTCAAGTCTTTCCATTTTACGGTGATTTTTCTGAGTGTAGCTTAGCACAAAGGCCAAAAGTATAGGATTGAATTCACTACTTGGTCGTAACTGTTCTAGCAAGAGAAGCTTGCTAACTGTTGCCCGACGTCAGGGTGTTCAGTCTTACCATTCTATGTATGAGAATTTAATAAACCTCTACTATTTTTCCTCTACCTACTCTTCTGTTCCTTCAATACCCTTTCTAGCTACGGCTTTACTAATTCCTGGATATTCTGAACTCCTATGTAACGAGAGTTTAATAAACCTCTTCCTTTTAATCATTTCTATATCCTGCTATTCATCTCGAAGTTCTTGACACAATCCTAACAAGGATCTGCAATGTATTCGACTTGGTATCTCGACTTAAGTCACTTTCTCACCGACGCGGCGTGGCTTCTCTGTGTCTTTTCTACAATTACTTTCATGGCAACTGCTCTGTCATCCCCTGCGTATTAGTGGCATTCTCGCCTTGCTTGGGGTGAAATGATTAAAAAAAATAGTAACATGACGTTTATGACACCAGAAAGAAGTGGTTAAAATGATTGCGTAAAGTTGGAATTATTGTTTTCCTTAGCGAAAAATATTGGAATAAATTTGGGCATTCTATTTGTTTTGCACTCAACATGGCGGAAAAGATTGTCAGTTATCAGAAACTAAGGCTGGTGTTACTGACAGGGTTATATAATATTTGTAACGTAAATGCATTTTTAATAAATTCACTGAAGAACTGCAAATATAAGAAATAAACGTAAAAACACACACACACACACACACACATATATATATATATATATATATATATATATATATATATATATATATATATATATGGAAGAAATGATGTACAGTGTCATGAAATTTTATTTTCTCAGAGTTTAACCTTTGCGAAATATTATCAAAGCCTAACAGACAGTATATATACTTTCTGGGGAGTTTTTCTTTACCTAGACCAGTTACCAACTTCGACAAGAGAACCGAGAACGCCCTGTTATTTTACGAGCGCGAAGAAGATGGCTTTATGCCATTTGCAAGTGAACAAAACAGATCCATGCAAAATTTGAACTCGGCTGACTGATGTCACTTCCGTGACAATAATCAACATATGCCCCCCCCGACATCGATTCGTGCGCGCAGAAATGAATAGATCCGTACACACACTAGAAAATCTAAGAATCTTTCTCATCATTAAAAAATGTTAAATTATATCATTTATTTCTATTTAAAATTTATTAAATAATTTTAAATAATTTGTGGCTGAGAAAAATACCGTGGGGTGAAACATATTCATTCTTCATTAATTTTAGTAAAGGGTTTTTTAGTGATCAGGGAAACATCCTCTTGGGAGTCGGTTCCTGTTGTGTTGGAAACCTACCACCCCTCTTGAAGATGAATTTGTCTGCGTCTGTGAACAAAGACTTTAAATAGTGGCATGTCAGTTGAAATGGCGGAGATAGATAGACAGGGAAGTTCTTAGCTGAGCTAGTTATTGACTACTCAGGCGATTTCTGTACCGTTTTACCAACCTATTAAAACCCTTTTTATTGTTACGTGTTATTTGACGTTTGTCTCTACTAACCCCAAAATCAACATCATAACAGTTCCACATGGCATTGGTAAATCTTCATTGGTTAATAGTTAACTGCTGTTCCCGGAAACTATTAAGTACTTTATATGAAAAAAAAATTGCAGTTTATTTTTATGTAAAATAACTTTATTGCAATGGCACAGTTTTCAGAATACAAATTAACCTTGAAAATTTTTTTTTAAAAGTCGACGACTTTTTCCATTATTATAAAATATCGATTACCTGGAAATATTTTTTCGGAAGTTTTCGTTTTAAAAATAATATAGGGACGAATAGAAACTTTCTTTCCTGTTAAATCTCGTTGATCCTCACGGGACAACGTCGCCATTGTTTTCTACTCCTGTTTGCGAAGAAGACCTTTTCTTTTTAATGTTAAATTACTAAAGGATTTTTCTCCAAAAATCATTTTATCCCTGCTGACACAAGGTGACCTTGCTTGTGAAATGTATTTGCGTGAGTAGGTTTATCAAGCATGTCACTTTTTGTGTTGAATATTTCACTGTTTAATTCAAGGTTGCAGTCACAGAAAAAACAAATACTCAATTGGAATTTCAAGTAATCTAGAAACACGCATGTCAGAAATGTGCCCGCCGCCTTCAAAAGCTTAAAATATTTCTATAATTCGATTTGAAAAAAAAAAAAAAAAAGGAAAGAAAAGAGACTTAACCACGTAAAGAATGTATACGTTGAAATATACAATGTAAAAATCGGAACTCTTAAAATAAATGTTATTCAGGTATGCAATGTATAATGTTTGTTTGTCCGGATAAAATCTGATGTATAAGAGAAGGGAAGTGATTGCCCGCTTTCTCAACATATAATCAGTTTTATTTTTAAGAAATGCCATAATGAAGTCTATATACATGACTGGTTTATTCCCGACAACTTTATGGCAAGTTATATATATATATATGTATATATATATAAGGAGGTAATAGAACTTGATGTAACTATATATTTCTAATGCATTGAATGTATCATTGTATCTACTTCTCTTTCACTCTCCTTCTCACTCTCTATCTCTTTCACTCTCTATCTCTTACGCGCTCCTTCTCTTTCACTCTCTATCTCTTACGCGCTCCTTCTCTTTCACTCTCTATCTCTTACATGCTCCTTCTCTTTCACTCTCTATCTCTTACATGCTCCTTCTCTTTCACTCTCTATCTCCTTTTGCATTCTGTTTCTCTATTTTTTACACTCTCTCTCTCTCTCTCTCTCTCTATATATATATATATATATATATATATATATATATATATATATATCTTTTTATTCTCCCACTTTTTAGTATCTATTTCTTCTCTATTTCTCTCTCTATCTCATATATATACACACATACATCTATATTACAACACCTCTCTCTCTCTCACCCCCCTACACACACATATAGTTTTAACGTATGATATATTTATTTATCGGTAATAGTGTTCCATATCAAAGATAGAGCGTATGTAAATATATAAGTAGACACTGAGCTCAACACCAAACGGTGACAGTATGTTTCATGAAGATTGCGTTGAAGCATGAAACATTTGCCACTGGATGTTGACCTCAGTGTCCACCTTTTACATTATATATATATAGATGCACGGTGGAGTAATGGCTTGGATTAGGGAATCGAATAGCCGAGTTCGAATTCCAGTCGAATCCATTACATTCATATACGTGTTAATACCCTTGGGAAAGGTATGAATCCTATCCTTCTTCTCCCTCCAGCTATGGGAAAATAGCAGGACAGACTGGGTTCTATACGGCAACTGGTCTAGAAGATCAGCTCTGAATTCAAAACCTGTGGAGGGTCGTGTAAGTAATTTTTGCACTTTTGGCACATAGTGCACCAGATCTCTGTATTCGGCCCTTCAAAAAGTGTGGATGGTTTTGCACAAAACCATCACCACTATAATCAAAATACATGTGTCTGGTTGTCGGTTCTTTGGAACTGGGCTGCTTGACCCTTATACGAGGGGAGAGTCGAATACTTGCACATATATATATATATATATATATATATGAAAATATATAGAAAATAGGGAGGAGCTGGTTAGGTAAATAATCCAAAGTCCCTTAGTTTAGTTATTATTTTTAAAAAATAGTGCTCAATACAAAAGTAGAGCATAAATATAATTATTTATTTAAAATATGATTCCAAATCGCTACATAAGAGGTCTCATGTTTCAAAACAAGAGCCGAAAATTTCAATATAATCCTTTAAATTAAATTGAGTTTAAATTAAAATGGGCTCCGTTCCATCTTCAAGCGAAATTTTTGTTGGAATATATATATGAGAATCTCCTATGATAAAATTTATTAATACAAGTCCACTAAAATTTATCGATCTTTCATTTCTCCTTGTTTCTGACTTGATGCCTCTTGTAAATCTTTTTCTTTTTAACCGTTTAAAATATAGTGTTAGAGCGTCCTTACTTGCTGATATAATCAAAGTTTTAAGAAACTGTTACGTGTATATTCAATATTTAGTTTTAATCCATTTTGAAAAACTGCTGTAGAATTCAAACAACAGGATTCATACTTCTGTAACAGTGTTTGCTTGAAGACCAATGACTTTCTTTCTTTCGTTTTCTTATTCTCCAGGATGTGGTCGACCATAGCTCTCCAGATTTACCTACTGTGTTTGTTGCCCTATGTGACTTTTGATACAATTCTATTTCCTCTTTGTTTCTTATATCATCCATTCATTCAAACATCGTCTACGTTTTTCTCTTCGTTTTTTTTTCCTCGATATACTTTGTGAGTGTTTACTTCCCCAGAATTTTGTTTCCAAGTAATTTCGGTTGACTCCAGTAGTTAATTTTTCTTTAAAATTCTCTCAGATAGAAACAGAAAAATTGTGTGATATTTTTCACGGCAGTCAACAGTGCTGCAATAATTGTATAGACGGGTTTGAGAGATTTCTGAAGTGCATAGAAAATTAAAATGTATGTGGCTAATCAAGTCAAGTACATTATCGTATTTTACCTCTTCCACAGCCGACAACGAACAGTTTGTATTTTTTTTCCTTAATACTGGGAACGCTGGATTTTTTTTCCGTAATAATGTAATCATTTCTTCGTTTTAGGCCATTTCAGATTGCGGGAAAATTTTACAATCATTTTCATCATGTGTTTTCAGAATGCTTTTTTGTTTTCTTGTTTTTTGTTTGTTTTTATTTAAAAAAACGTGGTCAGAACTTTTTTCGCGCACCTTAATGCGTGTGGTATCTTGGATAGAGGTACAGACGTTTACGTACATATATATATATATATATATATATATATATATATATATATATATATGTAAGCGCTTCGGGCAATGTACAGTCTTTGGACTCCCTTACACCCGCCAAACGGAACACTGTAAGAACAGTGTAAAAACTGAATAAAAAAAAAAAAATTAAACTTCCCTCGTCTGTCATATTGGAAATCAGAGCCGAATTCAAATTCCAGTGTGGTTCATTATATCAACTTACGCGAAAATAACGTTGATAAAGGTATGAATCTCTTTCCTACCCCCAGTCATGGGTTAAATAGTAGGAGTTGTATCTGGAAAAAAATCATTGTTCTTCTAAAACAAAAAAAAATGTTAATGCAATACACATTTGCAAAGATAATATTCTCCAGATCCAAAGTATGTTTCGGTTTTAAGTAACCCACAAAATGTTGACAAGACGTAAAAAAACAATTCAGTCATTCAATCATCCAACTTAAAGGTCTTAGTGTTATGGGACCTTACCCATAAGAACATAATGGACTATTCCATACGTAATAAATACTGCGCCTCAAGAGGAAGCAGGGACTTCAGTCCGAAGTCGGGCGACCGGCTGATCGATTGAACTGTCTAGCTTTGGGCAGGGAGGAACCCGAACGAGGCTACGCCGAAGGGCGGAGTCTCTTTCGGGGAGGTAAACTGACCCTGAACCCGTTTATATGGTTTCAAAGGGCATATTTTTGGCCGAGCCCACGGGCTCGGAGATCCCACGTTAAACCGGCCTTGTGCCACATGATGCCCTCTTGACTAAATACTGTTCAGTCTGAAGTCGGGTGACCGGCTGACTGGCTGATCGGTTGAACTCTCTGCCTTCGGGCGGGAAGGAACCCGAACGAGGCTACGCCGAAGGGCGGAGTCTCTTTCGGGGAGGTAAACTGACACTGAACCCGTTTATACGGGTTCAAAGGGCATATTTTTGGACGGGCTCGGAGATCCCACGTTAAACCGGCCTTGCGCCACATGATGCCCTCGTGGGTGGGTGGCTAAATATTGTTCAGTCTGGAGTGAAGTCCGTCAAGAGTCTGTCAGTCAGTCAAAGCGAGCGAGTCAGTCAGTCCGTCGAGTCAGAGGCAGTCCGAAACAGAGTTGCGTTCAGACAATTACTACTAAACCTGATTGTTCGTACTAACACTTTCTACTTCTCTGTATATATTCCTGTTTGTAATATTTCTGTGTTATTCCATATCTGTGTTCGAGTTCTTCTTTATTGGTTCTACCTTGGACTATCACCCTGGTACAAGGAACCGGACCATAACACTTAGATAAATGCGAAATAATATAAAAAAAATATATATAAATTTCTGTTGGATATCATGTTGTCCTTTCTCTTCAGAATCTCTTTCACTCGCAGTGACTTGACTTGCTTGGAATGAAATGTTTAAAATATAATTTTCCATCATGTTTCGATATAGCCATTTCGCAAGACAGACTGCTTTGAATTGTGCCATACATCAACAACAAAATATAATTGTTCCTTTTCTGGTTAACCACAATTACAAAATCTTTTACATTTGAAATGTTTTGTTATCTGAACAAATATGCAAATAGTACAAACAAAAAATAATTACTTATCCGCTAAATTATTACAGTTTAGTTTATTCAAAGGAAAACTTCAGATTCATTGTACGATTTTTTTTGTCTACTTTAACCCACTGGATCAACTATACCAGTAACAACATTTACCTCAATTTCAAGTATTAAAATAGCTATTCATTGTATATAAATAATTAAAATAGCTATTCATTTTATATATATATATATATATATATATATATATATAAATAGCTATTTTAATACCTGAAATTGAGGTAAATGTTGTTACTGGTATGGTTGATCCAGTGGGTTAAAGTAGAAAAAAATATTTCACACAATGAACCTTGTTTTTTCTATATATGTGCTTCTGTGTGTGGAAATATATATATTGTTTTCCACAGGCTGTTTCTCTGTTTCACCGCTCATCAGTGTGGCTAGACATCCGATTGCCTCAAGACGGGATCGAAACCCGACTGATTTGGTATCAGTCGGAGATTTTACCCCTAAGTCATTGGTGTACGACAGGGATGAATGAGAATTTAGACGTATTTATTTTTAGACACACACGCCAGTGACTGGAGAACTCGATTTGTCTTAACGAAGAGTCTAGCATCAGCAGCAGTAATAGTCACTGTTTACAAATTCACTTTTCTCCTCGAAAAGCTCAACCGAAATAATTTTTTTCAGGAGCATGTATATATATATATATATATATTGTCATCCCCAGATAGACTGTTCCGCAGCTCATCAGTGTGGCTAGACACCCGATTTCCTCAAGTATCTGCTTCTCTGTGTGCGTATAATATATATATATGTGTGTGTGTGTGTGTATAGTTTAATGGCCAGAGTTGAATTACACCAGGAAACAGTAGCATTAGAAAGTACTCAATACACGTGTGCAAAAATAAAAAAAATTTTAAAAAATAGCATGTTGAGCCTTTAAATTTAAAAATTAGGAGGTCAGTTGAATCCGCTGCCTTGGTTTCAACCTTACTGCATTCTCAGGCTATTTTTATCAATTGACCTCTCAACGCTTTATTTTTTTAAAAACTAAAGAACGTTATATTATTTTAAAAAATAAATAAGCAAACGCACGACGTTGGGTGTGATAGAAAGGGAGGAGGAGAATGCGAAGAAGGAAAGTGAAGAAGAATCGGGAGGAGAAGAAAAGTAGTGATATTATAAATGTGTCGGTGGGGGCGGTTAATTGAAATATACATACACTTTTTTATCCAGCCTCATATCAGCTTATGAGCAATATTTTGTATGTATGCAACGGCTCATGATTTCGGTTCCCTGGTTCAAAAGGTACTTTGGATCTTGAAAATGTCATTATTGCTGATGTTTCCTGTTGGCAGAGGCTGCAGATGCTATTCTTGTTA